TAACGAGGCAAACCCCTTCAAGATAATCTTAATCACTCATTCAAGAAAAAAAATCTAATATTAATTATGACCGATCACTCTTTATCAAATATCTTGAACAACTATATTAATTTAGGGCTGTTTATTTCGCTGATTCGAGTTGAGATGTGATTTTATGTGAGAGCGTTTTACTGTAGCAAAAAAAAAAATGGCTGTCTCTGAGAATTTTTTACTGTAGCAAAACTCGAATTCTAAATTCGAATCGGTGAAATGAACGGGACCTTAATCTCATTCTTAATTAACAGACAAGAAGTGCCACGGTCCTTTATATGTATGTATATATGCATGCAAGTATATGTATATATATATATATATAATTATAATTATATCCTAATTTCATGGAGATTAATAGTGTTTCTTTTTTTTTAACTTGTTATCAACATATACATTTTAGACGAGATATAATATTCATCTTATTATATATATATATATATATCACTACAGGTAGCAAGCAAGCATGTCTCTTTGTTCCTGATGTCCCCACATGAACTGTAATATCTTGTCCTTAGCGTCGGTTAATTCCTGATCATCAAACTCAAATCCATAAACAGAACGAATCCAATGCACCAACTATGTCCATCCATCCATATGCGTGATCCTTCCATATCATTTTAATTGGTTATGTTTGGTCAAACCTGGAATTTTTAAGTCAAATTCAGAACTACTTCCACACTATACGGATGCATATTATATATAAATTAATCTACGGTTATAACACACACACACACTCTTGCATATATGTGTATATATATGTACATATGTTTGTGTATATATATACATATATATATATATAAGTAGATCCCTCAACTTTATATGAATTTTAGTTGGACTCTTCTATATATCTTGACTGTCCCTCGGAAGCAGCTAGCTAGATCTTCATAACGAATAATTAAAAAACATAATATATATATTAGAATATTTGATAAACTGTCTTTATATGAAGTCCGAGTACTTTTAACTCATTTGTGATGATATATTAATAATAAACGTCCATAGTTTATTATGATACATACATAACTACATTTTATATATATATATATATATATATAGACACACACACCTTATTGGTAGAGAGAGCTACATTGGTGTTACCTTGTCCCCGCGATCGAGAGTTGGAGAGAAAACGGACAACTATATCATATGAGCGGGTAAAGAAAAACAAGACCTTGCCAATAATAATAACTGTAGATGATGATGGCTCACCTATTCCGTTAGATTTTACTCCATTGTCACCAACACGTTGTAGTTATATATGTGTATTAACTCAATGCAGGTTATAATCATTTTAGTGCCTGTAAAAGAAAATGCCATTATTGTTTTAGTTAATTTTACCAATAATTGTCTTCATAGTCAATTAAATAGTCATGTATTTTCCTATAAAACGTTACAAAAGAAACTTCATGATATTCCTTTCAGAACAATAACACGTGTCATATAAACATAAACATTTGAGGTCAATCCTCAAGTTTGTTGACGCTCAAACACAAACATGTAATTTTAGTAAACTGAAATTAAAAATTTAAATTGGAGAACTGAACGAGGCCTTAAACTCCTAACATGGTTGATGGTTTTCTTCCATTCCTATCGAAGGAGGTCTACCCTCTATATGTCCACATGTCGGTGGTAGGTCGAGGGTACCCACTCATTTTTTGATATTTATGTATCAACAAGGTCCTTTGGGTTATATCAAGGTCCAATCTTGAGAGGGAATATTTTTAGTATCAAAAGAGACGTGTCACATAAATTGACCTTGAGAAAAATAATTCCCTAACACTTTTTTTTTTTAATTTGAGTTTAGCTAGTTAATCTCTTGAATAGAAGTTAAAAGTACCGAAAGCTAATACACATGCCACACCCCATGGTTCAAAAGGAATGATGTGTGCGTATATAAATCAACTAATTAATTAACGTTATTTATTAAGACACAATTATAATATGAGTAACAAATTTGTTTATTATTATTATTTCTATACATTGATTGCTTTCGAGTGGGTTGTTCATGATCAATAGAATATTGTGAGCTTGAACCCTGTTTGAAGGAAAATTTATAAACTCACGCGCCAATTAGCTGAGCCTATGTGGTTAAAGATAGTTACTATAACTCAATTTAATTAATATCTTAAAAAAATAGACAAGTTCTTTTTGGATAGTTACTATAACTCAATTTAATTAATATCTTAAAAAAAAAGAGACAAGTTCTTTTTGGATAGTACAACATAGTATTAAAAATTTATATTAAGTTTGTTAATTACATAATTAACAGTATATAATCACTGTAGAATTCCGTAACGAAGGTTCTTTGTGTACATTTTTTCGATTTTTTTTTTAAAATCTACAAGTACTATAACAATTGACCAGAGTGTACTGATGCAAAATAATTAATTTCTTTAGTGGATTGAATTGTAATTACACATGTATGTGGAAAAATGGACACCAGTGTATATAAAACGCTCTTGCAATCAAAAGGACGAAATTGCCCCTCGTAGCAACGTCATATTCGAGGTCTCTTTTGTAGAAGTCATTGTCATTTCACATTCGTTAGGATAAAGTTACATGTATAAATAGTGAAGATTCGTGAATCCCTCAAATCAAAATTACAATAATTAATGCTTATCAGTAATATAATTCAAACATATATATAATTAAATGGACCAAAATTAAATAAAGTTCTTGTTCATGCGTCACGTGGGATGTGGGTGGTGAAAAGTCTATTTCTTTTGATTTAATTAGTTAAGTTTAGGTCAGATTCAGATTGTCTCCTTAATAATCACATTTTTATTTTTTTCAAATAATCACACTTCTTGAAAGTAATTAATAATACATAGTTACAGCCCGATCATCATTGTCAGTTGTCACTCACTTGCACATCATGATAGCTTCCCTTCAACACAACCATTCTATTTCAGGAACTATTTAATATTACTAGTAAAATATATTATCATACAAGTACTCTTCATTTATCATCTAATCTGAAAATTAAAGATTAATCTCTTCTTAAACTTGTTAAAAAAATTTGATCTTTTGTTGAAGTATTTTTTGTTAAGCTTACGGACAAATATTTAATAGTCATATTTTATACAAATGTAATTAATTTAATCTCTGTTTCTTCCTAAATTTTGACAGTAGCATAACAGGATAACTTTTTAGTAACAACTGCTATAAATTTCCCCAAACAAAAGATTTTAACTTTTGTTTGTAAGTTTAGGAACAACTGTCTTCATTCTAAATTTTTATAAGAGGTTTCTGACATAAAAAAATCAGGGTTAATCATAGGATTAGTCCCATAATAGTTTGTGTATGACTCAGATTATATCAATATAATATATTCCACAAATTTTCTCGTAATCAAACAAAAAATTATGATAATATCCCAGGGAAAAAAAAAAAAAAACATAATCAATAATAATGCGCTTAGCAGGTATCGGTAAAAATATCTTTCTTACTTTTTTTCCCCTCCATATTTGCATACACATCAAAGTACTAATTACAGGCTAAACCACTAAAGCTTGCATGCATAATAAGAAAACCTTTTTCCATCATTGCATGATAATACAAATTTGACCCTGAAAAACATGATGATAATACTAATTTGACTAGTGAACTCTTGCTCTAATATTCCTGATTGGTCTTGTCGCCATTATAATTCCCTTTTCATAACAACAAGAAACAGTCACTTCCACATTCTCTTTCCTTTTGTATGTAAAAGAAAGTCCAAAATTTCTTAATTCTCAAAATAATATAACTAAACAATGACTGGATTAATAACGAAATAGTAAATAGCAACATGAAATGCGCTTGAAAAAAGGAAATACACTTGAGGAATAAAATAACACAATAAAAGAGCATAAAACAGTAATATTATGAATCAAAGAAACAGAATAACGAAAATGTTTTTTTTATGTGTCCCAGTGAGCCTTGGAAATGCCCTTTTAAAAAAATTTTTTTTTTTTTTTTTCCAAAGTTGAAAAACCAATATAGTTGGCAAGCATGTGGTTTGGGCAGCTTTTGCCTTCAAGAAAAACCATCCCATCTCCTTATTTAATGATCCAACTCATATGCTTCATCTTCTTCACCCCTCCAAAACCACGTTTTTTTTTTTTTTTTTTTTTAATTTTAAGAATTTTAAGCTCTGAATATTATTACTTTTGGAGACAGCCCCATTGTCTCATAAAAATGTGAGCATAAATGGGAAACCTAGAACAATTTGGTACCCCCACAATTTGGTTCTCCTTTAAATCTCTAGGCTTCATTTTAGTCTCCATATTCATGGTAGGAGTGAACAAGGGGGGAAAAAAGAAGCTCAAAAAATTTCTGAATATTACCAACAGAAAGGAAAAAAAAAAGAAAAAGAAAAGTAGCTCAAGCTTGCATGGTAGGACATACTTATTAGTACAACGACTGTTTTTCAAAGTCCTATCTCACTTTGACATTATATAAAACTTCACTAATACGCAAATTTTGTAGATTTTCATCAAATTCTTTCGAATTACACATTTTCTTTTTTATGTAAATATTGATTTTTTTTCTTTTATATAAAAATAATACAATTATGATATTATATGACATACATTATCTATTACAGAAGTTTCCACTTATATGGATAAAAAATAATCACTAACCAAGACTATAATTTTACAAGCAACACAGCAGGCAGAAAACACACACACACACACACAGATATATATATATATATTACATACATATATATTTTTTTAATCATCGAAAGAAATTGCACGTTTATTCATGATGAGGCGGAATGGAGATATTGGTAGAGACCAAAGTGCGCGTGCTGTGCTTGTGACAAGTGACCTCCGATTTGCACTTTTACCTCTTTTTCATCTTTTAACTTTCACTATCTTACCCAATCACTTTTCTCTCTCAATTCACTCACTATCTCCATCCCATTGACATATCAATCTTTTAACAAAGCGGTGCAACTTGTAAAAAAGACGTAACAACAACAACAACAACAACAACAACATAGCTCTTACTAGTCCCAGTTTCCCTCCCTCCTTTTACATCTACCTTGTACTGCTCTCTCTCTCCTCTCTCTCTCTCTCTCTCTCTCTCTCTAAGCCTACGAACAGTTCTATTCAGTTTTCGCTTCTTACAAGGCATTTTCTCACCTGGGTTCGGCAGAGAAATGGACGAAAATAAGAGTTCCAACACTGGAGGGTGATGGAAATTGGAATGATAACCAAAAACTTCTCTCACTCTAATACTTGTCGTTTAAGGTCTGAGCCTGAGATCTCCATATATGGAAATTTCAACACCGTTTTGTATTTAATAACTATGCTCGGTGGCTTTGTTATTTGTTTTCTTTCACTTATAAGCCTTTTCTCTCTCTTTTTTTTCTTTTTTTTTTTTTCTCTTTGTTCTGTTGTGAATTTAATGAGCGTTATTGAATTGGGTTTTCATTTGTTTGTTTTGTCTTGGCCTTGCAGATTTCAATAATACAGTTTTTGAAAGATGAATACCAAAACAAGAACTACTACTACTATTACGACTGCTACTAGGCTTCAGCCAGGGAAAACAGCTCCGACATTGAAGAATAGTAGTGAAAAAGTAATGATCATGTCATGATTTATTCTGAAAACGCATAAATGGGGTCCTGTTTAATTCTTTTTATTGTAATAAATATGTGTTTGAAAAACGATTTATTCTATTATTTTGGAGTCTGATAAGAGCTGAGTGTAATTATGAGATTTTGAGCCTTTTCTTGAAACGGTTTTTTTGGGTCAAAATTTATGGTTTCAAAATCAATGAGGAAGCTCAGAGATTGCTGACTTCTTGGTATAAATCCAAGATTTGAGTCTTACCATTTTCTTCCCAAAAAAAGAAAAAAAAAACGAAAAAGAAAAAAAAAATCAGTATTTTTCTTCCATCCCAGGCAATTCAGTGTAGTAGACAAGATTTTCATGGAAAAGTATATTCTTTTCTTTCAAATTCCTCTTCTTGTTTCGGAATCCGATCCATATCCACGTGGAGAATTCTTAATTTTATTCTCTCTTCTTTATATCCTTCAAATTATTCTTGTCTGCAACATTTTTCTGGAAGCTAATTCTGGTTTCTTCCAAAGGAGAAGGTAGTCGAAATGCAAGAGAGCAAACTCAGAGAAAAGACCACAAAATCACCCAACAATGGACGAGCCTCAAGCAGAGAAAGAAAACTTGCTTTACAACAAGATGTGGGCTTTTTTTATTCTTCTGAATTCTTCATTTCCCTTTTAATTTACTTGTCAATAAATTGTTCAATTCTTCTAATATTTATGTATATATTTGTTTCAGGTTGATAAGCTGAAGAAGAAGCTCAGACATGAAGAAAGTGTTCACAGAGCACTTGAAAGGGCTTTCAATAGGCCATTGGGAGCTTTGCCACGTTTGCCTCCTTATCTCCCTCCTTATGTTAGTACTACTTTTTTTTTTTTTTTTTTACTTAAAATTTTCTTAATTCCACATTTCCGAATTCAAATGTGAAAAGTTAGCGATGTTGTCAACACTATTAGTCAACATAAATTTGAGTTCTGAATCGTGGATTTCTCACGATCGGGACGAATAACTCTGTTCTATTTGCTTTAGTTTGTCACCAAAAGTTTCCCCAAGAAGATTGCAAAATTTGACAATGAACAGTTATTGTTGCAACTTTGTGTAGACATTGGAACTTCTAGCTGAAGTGGCTGTTCTTGAAGAGGAGGTGGTTAGGCTTGAAGAGCAAGTTGTGCATTTCAGGCAAGACTTGTACCAGGAAGCTGTGTACATTTCCTCCTCAAAGAGGAACATTGAGAACTCAGCCGATTCGCATGATCCGCGCCCGGTGAAGAGTCCCAGACCAGAGCTTCCAAAGTTTCTATTGGCTCCTATGGGGAATTCTGCTACAACTCGGACAAAGCACCTTCGGACGAATTCTGGTGAGCTATATTATTTCTGTTCTTGTGTCTATTGGAAAAAGGGGAAATTAATTTTGTCCTATTTACAATCAGTAAACTAACATGGTATCAGAGAATGTATTGACTCACCTTACGTATTGATAATATGACATTTTCAACTGTTATGTGATTTGGCCTTGAAAATGATTTTTTATGTTTTCTTTTTTTAGATGATAGGCAGGGGAAGGAGAACCAATCCTGCACTAATTCGACAAAGAACAGCAAGGGATCGTCGATCCACAAAAGCCAGACGATGAGGGCATCAGTGAAGAGACCACCGGCAGATCAGAAATCAGCAGAGAAGAGTTCAGATCCTCAAAAGTTACAGGTAATGTACTATGGTCTACCAAAGTTCATTAGGTGTTTTAGAAAATTGGTGGTGCATTAAAATGAACATGTCATTTGCTGAACGTCCAGTTAGAATCCAGAGTGACAGACAATGAAAGTGCAGAAGCAAGAACTTGTACTGTTCAGGAAACTAAGGTTTCAGAGGATGACAGTCCGAATAGAATTTCAGAAAATATAATGAAGTGCTTGTGCAACATTTTTTTGCGAATGAGTTCGGTGAAGAATCGGGGTGGTGATGAGAGCTGTCCTACCTTCTCCAATTTAGCTACTCAAGAAAGCAAGGAGAAAAGAGAGTTTGGAGATCCATATGGTATTACTTCAGAATTTGGGAAGAGAGACATTGGTAAATATAAGCAATTCTTGTCGATTGATGCTAGCTCGATCAATCTAAATCGAACGGCAAATTCTTTGTTCTTGCTTCGTAGATTGAAGTAAGTACTCCACGTCAAATGAACTGTTTGATTTATCAATTCTCCATAATTTTTTTTTTTCTTTCTGTAACAAGAATAGAATCTAATATATCTTTTATTCTCTGAATTTTCAGACTACTATTTGAGAAACTTGCTTCTGTCAATTTAGAGAACCTTTCCCATCAAGAGAAGCTTGCTTTTTGGATCAACATCTACAATTCATGCATGATGAATGTAAATATAGGAGACCATATCAACTTGTTACAAGTTTTATGCTCTTTCATGTATATTTACAAAGTTGCCTTCATTAACTATTTACTATGGTTTCAGCCATTCCTGGAACATGGAATTCCAGAGAGCCCTGAAATGGTTGCTGCCCTGATGCAAAAGGTATGGTCTATTACGGAAACATTTATTCGACTATATCGAATTTCTTACGAACCAAATTCAACATGTAAGTCGTGCGGTGGATAATGATTTATAACGGTTCTGTTTCTTGTCAATCAGGCAATAGTTAATGTGGGGGGACACCTGCTAAATGCAATAACTATTGAACATTTCATCTTGAGATTGCCTTACCACTCCAAATATGTAAGTGGTCCTTCCAACTTCCATACATACAGTATTGAATGTTTTCATCATCACGAACATCATATAGTTTCCTAACTTCTTAGTGCCCACCAGACCTTTTCTAAGGGTGCAAAAAACGATGAGAAGACCGCAAGAAGCATTTTCGGGTTGGAGTTATCCGAGCCATTGGTGACATTTGCGCTATCCTGTGGAAGCTGGTCCTCTCCTGCTGTAAGTTTGTTGATAGAGTTAGTTGTGTTCATTACAACAAGTTTCTTCATTGATTCCAAGTTCAGTACCACAATGCATTAATGGCACATTTGCAGTACTTTTTCACTTTTTTACCGCCTCTCCTGAACTTCTAAATGAATTAATACTTTCGGTTGGCTATGATAGACACTCCCCATTTAGACCTTAAATTGAATTTGAGAACAGTAGCCATCATACTTGCTGAAAAGTTTCCCTTTTAGGTTCTTTTTAACATTTTCTGTTATACTAGGGGCAAAATGGTCATTTCATAAACATCAATTTCATTTCACCTTTGTTACTAAAGTTGATGACAAGGCTTAAAACTGATTATTTACAAGATTATTCTAAATTACTAATAATTTAATGACCAAAATGCTACTTTCGAATTGTTTCGAAAGTTACTAATCGTGCATAATGTGTCTATCCTCGCCTGAGCTACTACCATTTTACGTATAATTTTCTCTCCGATTCCGATTACTGACATTTGGTTTCTACCAAATGCAGGTGAGAGTCTACAGTGCAGCTCAGGTTGAGAATGAACTGGAAGTGGCAAAGAGAGAGTACTTAGAGGCTGCAGTGGGAATTTCATCAAGCAAATTCAAAATCCCAAAGCTATTGGATTGGTATTTACTTGACTTTGCAAAGGACTTGGAATCACTTCTTGATTGGATCTGCCTTCAGCTACCAAGTGAACTAGGAAAAGAAGCTCTCAAGTGTCTTGAGAGAGGGAAAATTCAGCCCCTTTCACAGTTTGTCCATATTATGCCATACGATTTCAATTTTAGGTACCTTTTATACGCATAGTTAATATTTTTTATTCATTCATTTTTTCTTTTTTTTTTTTTTTTTAATTTTGGGTCTTACATGATTTTAAGGGTAATGGGGTTATTACAATTTTGTACACAGCAATAAAGAAACTATAGCAAAATAAATGTATAATCTTCTCTCCCTTGTAAGTAACTAAGAGTTGACTTCATGTTATTCTGCCACAATTAATTAATTATATGAAAATATATATTTTATGTTTACTCAGTGAAGGGTTATATGAAATATGACAATTTCTTGAGTAACCTGTCTTATAGCATATATTAAATGTGGAGTAGATTTTTTTGAAAAATAAACAATAACAAATTATTCATCAATTATCACTTGGAAAATACTAGCAATACTTGAATAAAAACTAAAATAAAAGGCAATGCCCATTTAATAGCAGCAGAATCTGGTCCTTTCTTTCCCTCAGAGGAAAAGGAAGAAAAAAAAAAAAAAAAAAACTGTCTGGTCACTTTATAGATAGAGACTTTATAGATAGAGTTGAAAAGATGGCCCGCATAAGTGAGAGTGAAAACGACAAGTTTGTTTGTAAACGAATTTTGGTGTAAATGAAGATGGGCCAATGTTTAATACACAAGTTGGTACATAATTTACGTGGAAAAGTTGAATTTGGAATTCCAGATGAATATTGACCCGCGCTCGAAGGCTCTGTAAAAATAACTCAATAAAAAAATTTTATTAATAAAATAATTTTTTAAAAATTTTTATTTGTAAAATGATCACTTTTTATAAAGAAGAATTAGGTGGTTATTCTTCATAAAAAATAAAAAAAGTTATTTTGTTAATTTTATTTTGTTGGATAGTCATTCTAGCACATTTCTCTCCGCGCTTCTAATAACTGCTATTGAGGTGAAAATGTCCTTCTGGAGGTACGCACACAGACTATTGTGACTTTGTTATGTGTGGTCCATAACTTATGATTTTTGGTCAGTTTTTCCTTATCAGACAAAAGCCATTTTCATCAATGTTAACAGCTTGCAGTTGATTCCCTTTGCCAACCCATTAAAATAGCTGTATGCTCTAATTCTTATACTACATGAGGGATTTTTGGGACAATCATTATTTGGTAAAGAAGGGTACAAAGACTCAAAAAGTAATCTTAGAGTTGGTTTTACCTTATACGTTACGATAATCTACAATGATAAATAGACGTAGCTCTCACTTAAAAAGTGAACTAGACTAATGCAAATCAACTAACATAGCAAGTTTATAATTACATGACATAAAGTAATAGTATCTTGGAATGAAAATCTTGTGTCGTTAAGTTACAAGAATGTACATATCATAAGATGAATGAATAATAAAATAAATCTCTTGTTGACAAATTAGATGGTCACTGATTTGGGCCTTGAATTCCTTAGCAAAAAGCATGTAAAACAGGCCGAGCCGAAATTGGAAAAGTGGTTAAATGTACAAGCCAGGAATCAAAACCAATTGAGAGGTTGTTTGGTTAGGAGATTCGTACCCGATTCGAATCATAATTTATAATTTGTTACAGTATTTTTTTTATAAAAAATACACATAAATTAAAAATAATTATAATCTAATGATTCTAATCCATCAACCAACAGTAATACTACTGAAATGAATGCAATCATAACGAAGGCACGAGAATTAATATGTGTTTTTGACTGAACAGATCAGGAGGGTACCACGGCTATATTGCTGGCATGTTTAACAGAAAAAAAAAAAAATATATATATATATATATATATATGTATATATGTCAGTGGTACTTGAGAAATTAGACGATCAATATGCGCTTGGGAATCTAAACCTTGTCCACTTCTAAAAAAATATGCAAAAAGGTGCAAAATAGTGGTCCTGACTCTGACCCCTTATATGTCATTGGGCTTAAAAGATGAATCCGGAGAGTGACTGATGACTTGGCAGGATTTGGCCCAATCCATTAAATGGGTGGCAATGCCATGATCAAAATGATCAGTAACAATATAAACATAGAATTGTTTCGCTGACCCAGGAACAAGTGTAGTTTTTTTTTTTTTTTTCCACATAACATAGTTTATAACATTCAATAAATATAGTCTAACACCTGTGACATGTGCATTACTTAAGTAAATTGACTTTTAAACTCACATACGAACAATGTTACACAGACATAAGAAAAAATTACATTAATTATTAAAATGTAAGATCGACGCATTTGAGACTCCACTTATAAATTCTTCCATAGAAAAACTACAACATAAACATTTAGCTAAAAAAAAATACAATACTGTTGGTATAAACCATGAAGGTTACTTTTCAACGTCCAAATAAGAGTTAAACTGATCTGAATGGTTTAAACTTAGGAGACATTTGATTCATGGATTAGAATCATGAAATTAGAACTATTTTCGATTTACGTTTATTTTTTGTGAGAGAAAATATTATAGCAAACTATGAACCATGATTTAAATCATAGTATGAATCCTCTTACCAAACATCTCCTTAGATTGCTTTATGTGACAAAAACTTTCAACGGTCCATATTAATCGAACCATCAATCCTCCAGTGATTGAAAAACGGATTGCACGGTACATCCAAAAATTTTGAATAATTGTCATTCAGTTACACTAGTACGCCTCTGTTCGATGACATATAGGTGTGCAAGATTTTAGGTTTGATTTTTCTTTTAATAGAAAGGTCATTAAATGCTGAGTTAATCACGTTTTATCAACGGCTAAGACTAGACAATTGCACCATCTACCTTGTTTCCTTTTTTCCCGCTTTTTTTTTTTTTTTTGAGTATCAGAATTGAGAATTGTTTCCAAAACTTGTTATACTTGTGTAATTGGAACTTATCGTACGAATGGCTGCGACGAGACATATTATTCACGTCATATTATTTGTCATATTATTTATGTGGTACACTTGTTTAATGATATTATATCATTTACATTTTATCTATGTCAACTTTTCACTTTTATTTTTAATTGTGTTTAATTTTAAAGTTAAGTCATTAAAATAAAGAAATTGAGTATAATAATAAGTGCTTTTAACTCAATAATCAATACAAATACCTATTAGGAAAGAGAAAAATAAAAAAAAAATTTGATATAGATAAAATGTCTAAATAGTACAATCTCATTAAACGGATATACAACATAAATAATATGACGTGATACACCTAATGTACTGAATAATTCTTCCATGAGTTGAAACACTAGTCTTCATTAATGTCAATTTTCTTGTCATTATTAGAGCAGAAGAATTTCTTTGCGAAATCGAGCTCCATATAGTAAGGGGAAGCTAAGAAAGCAAAATGTGCTCCTTTAAGACTGAGACTTAGCCAGAGATTTTTGTCTATTCCTATTACTTTCCAAATTACTCAAAAATTTTGGCCAAACAGATGTGTGTGTGTGTGTGTGTGTGTGTGTATATAGTGTATATATATATATATATATAATTTTTTTTTTTTGAGTCCTTAGCCGCCTACCTTACTGAAACTTGGGTAGTTCGATTAAGCCTTGGCTGCCGTTAATTTTTTCGATGTACTCAAATTGGGTATTGTTATAATTTGGTGTCTTAGATTCCTGTAATAAACTGGTCAAAGACAAAAACGTCCCCATGTCTTACAAGTAGAATTTACTATATTGATTGCTATATATAGCCTACTTATGACATTATTTTTATTATTATTATTATCAATTATCCATATAGCATTAGAATCGGTCATCTATGTCGTGCATTAATCTAGACCCGGGAAATTAGAATATTCCAAAACCGTCCAAACATAATATTATTAAACCCTCACAGGTTTTTCTGTGGAATATATATAAACAAAAGAAATAAATAAATGATCCATCATAAACGATACCATAGACGTTGGAATCCATCGTAAATAATTAATGCCATATACACATATGATACTTGTATTACTTAATGCCAAAACGAACAGTTCCACCTATTTTTGGAATCGAAACTGCAACCTCTCCTCAAAATCCTATCTTATCCAAACACACGATGCCGCTACAACGGCATTGCCGTACTAGACCAAATCGATGGTTCTATATTGTCGCGCGGGATACTTGTTTTGCTAGCTAGTCATCCGCTATACTTGTTATATGTACGTAAATCGATGTATCAATATATAAATGATAAAAATTTTATTGCTGAATCATGATCTAATTAAGGAAAAAATACTATGGACTACGTATAGACCCCGTTCGAGTTTTACTGTAGTAAAAAGTTCTAAAAAACAGTCATATCTAACTTTTTTACTACAGTAAAAAGCTCTCAATCTCAACTCGAATTAAAAACTCAAATCAACGAACTAAATAAGCCATATAGTGATCACACCATAATTTTGTTTGCACTAAGGCTTTGTTCATTTCACCGATTCGAGTTTTCAATTTTAGGTTTCTACAGTAAAAAATTCTAAGAAAATATCACATCTAACTTTTTATGTTACAGTAAAAAACTTTCAAAAAATGTCAAATCTCAACTCGAATTGAAAACTCAAATCCGTAAAGTGAACGGTGCCTAAATATACTAAAAGATACAAACCAATCAATAAGACAATAGTGTTGAAAAAGAAATACCATAAAATAAGCAAATTATAATTTTATTATATATTATATATTTATAATTTTCTTTTTCAACCTAGCTAAGCCATGTTTTTTCTGGTAAACACCCGACTTTTTTGCGTAGTAATGTAACTATTGTCTAATAGGATTGTTTTCTTTATCGAAGGCATAGATATTCTTCAAATCGAAAGATATTTTTGCCTAAATTGTTAATTATCAGCTGCGCGAATGAAGGTTTAAGCAAAGTATATCAAGGAACTAATTAGATATGTACATTTACTATCTTATTTTTGGTCTACAATCGTCAAATTGTGGTCATGATCATATGTAGCAACAAAAAAGCTGATCATGTAGAGGAAGAAAAGTGATCGTATTAATCATTGCATACGTAGGTAACGTAGCCAGTACCCACTAGCCACATTTTATAATTATTATTATAAATTAGGCGTTGAGAAGTACTCAGCGATTTTACACGTTTTTTGTGCACCCGACGCCATGTCTAAATGCATGCATGTGACGTTTAATGTTTGGAAAACGTCTTTTCTAGATTCGTCTAGTTTTACTTTTCTTTTGAATTGGATAATGTTATTAGAAATAAAGTCTCTCTCAAATTACATGAATA